CACCCCATCCTTACAATGTGTGTCCTTTCTGTCGTCAAGGACAGCCTCATTCTTGAGCTTTTCCCTGTGTTTAACACCTTCCCCTTCACTCTGCCTCTCTCACAGCGTGCAAGTGGGCTGTTATGGCATACGGGGATGGGGGCCGCTTGCGCTCAACTTCATCAACCTGGCGAGCCTTGCACGTGAGAGGCACAGTGGTTGTGGAGTTCAAAGAAGAATGAGAAATTCGATGGTTTCAATCTGCCCTTGTTTTTTCTTTTTGTTTTCATTTTTATTTTTGCATGTTATCACTGTGCCCGTTTTTTGCTTTTATTCTTTGTTCCGCAAAGTGCGCTCTTTTAGTTTGTAGTTATGTGACAATGTATATATATATATTGTCACATAACTATGAACTAAAAGAGCGCAATTTGCGAAACAAACGACAAAAATAAAAAATTAAAAAAACAAGACAAACATGAAGGGCACAATGAAACCATTCATTTTTCTCATTCTTCTTTTGACTTCCCTTATATATATATTGTGACGATATATATATATATTGTGACGATATATTATATATATATTTATTGGCCCGGCTGGGCAAGTGGTCCCGGGTCACTCTGGTAGCCTAGGTCTGGACCATATACATGCTTTCTGTCGTATCATCTAGGTCCAGGCTGATAACGAGCCTGACAAACTGATTGGCAAACTGATTTTTGGAGTGTTGGAATCCCATTCGACTTGCTGGCATGTTAGATGAACAGGATCGAGGGAGGACACTCTGCCTCTGTGATTGTTCATCTGAGACGAACGAACATTTTCTCCCTGTGGTTTATTTCGGATGTGGCATGCAGGTGAGATTTGCACCCTCTGCAGGACAAGAGTCCTACGTGCAAAAATTTCAGTTCAAAGTGCTTCAGAATGGGAAAGGTTTCACACTGTCCTGCAGAGGTTCTGGATATACTCCACTCATTCTGTTCCAACCGCCTTCTCTGACGTTGGGACCAATCCTTCCCCGAGCAAAAGAAGCTGCTGAGGCAGCTGTGGTCTTGGTGAATCACTCTGATGAGCCTGTGGAAGTTTACTCTCTTGACTATGACATGAGGTACCTCTTTGAAGAGGAGGTGCTGCGACATGCGGAGGGTTACTGCTTGGCGGATGTATGGAGAGTGCATCCTGACCTGTCACACTTCCTACGAGTAGGAGCAGCAGCAGCAGAAAACGCTCCTGGCAACATGAAGAACTCCGTTTCTGGCGACGGGCTGAAGAACTCTGGCGGGGATGCGAGTGCAGCCAATAAGAGTGATGGTGATGGAAATGAAGCACCAGAGGACCAGTGTCAGGACTTCTTGTTACTGCCAGAGAGAGGAGCTGGAATGCCTCTCTGGCCGCACTTGGTTGAAGCAGACAGGAGGAGAAGGATAGCCGCTGGAGAAATAATTGAATCAACCGCTTCGAAAGCTGCTGAGAACACTCGAAGAGTCCAGGATGGTGGAGCTGCTGGAAACAAGAAAAGAGGTGTACGTGGAAGACATACACCTGCTGGTTCAAGAAATGCGAGTGGTGGTAGCAGCCCACGTCTTCAGTATCTCTCTGATGGGACCCTTTCAGGCGGTTCACTAGATGGAAGTGGAGCTGAGAAGAAAGGATCCAACCTTTCAGGTCTGAAGAAGAAGGAGGACCGGGCGACTTCCGACAATGAGAAGACAGATGATGGTGTAGTAGATGGTCAAACCATAGCCAAAGATGATATAGACAAGAGCATCAATATTATCTTTTATGGTCCACCATCAGTTGGAAAAGCTACCGAGGCAGAGGCACTAGCAAGGCAATGTCATGTTCCAGTGATCGACGTCCATGAGATTGTGGCAAAGGAATGTGAGAAGAAAATGGCATCGAAAAGAGCCAAACTTGAAGGACAAGGAGCTGAAACCTTGGACTCAGAGAAAGCTGCACCCCGCCAAAAGCGACAAACCCCATCAGTAAAGAAGCGGGCAGACGGTGCGAAGCAAGAAGGGGGCACACAAGGTAATGCAGAAGCTACTGCCGGTGCTGGAGCTGGACGGCTGAAGGCAACTGATGAGGAGGTATGCCAGTGGCTGAAAGGAAGATTTGGTCAAGAAGATTGTGCTGGTGGCATGATTGTGACAATCTCCCCCAATTCCTTAGATGTGGAGCCATTGACAATGATGAGAGGTCTACTGACAGCATTGGCTCTTGAGCTCAAGGAGCGACCAATCCATGATGGGCATGAAGCCCTGGAGGGACTAGGTGGTAATGGAAACTTAGCTGAAGGGGAGAAGTCCATTCGTGGAATGCTTGGAAGTTGGCAGGGCAAAAAAAAGGTTCACGTGGTTGTCATGGAAATGGACAGAGATGCATTAACCGAGCACCTTTCCGTGTTAGCCTCTGCAGCGTCTCATGAGTCACAGCCGGCGACAGTCTTTGGTTCCGATTCACAAAATGAAGTTGGGGCCACGCTGTTGTCAAAGAGTGAAGGCTTGGATCGTGCACAAAAGGATGTGATGACAAAGGAAAGGGATGGCAAGACCCCTGGAGAAGAGGCTCCCCTCCCGGATGTCAAGGGGTCAAAGCCTATGCCAGCTCAAGCTGCTTCTGAAGTGGATGGAAATTTGAGATCACAGCAGCAACAAGCCGATGGCACAAGACGGTTAAGCAGCAGTCATCCTGCCCAAGGGCATGCAGCCAAACCCGATGGAACAGCTGGTGATCAAACAACAGATGGCCGACCAAATCAACCCTTTCCAGCACCTGCTACCACAATAACAGAGAAAAGGGGGAGCAAAGATGGAGGAGAAGTCCCATTGCAATCACCTGCTCCCGTCCTGAACCCTCAACTCACAGGGTTGGTTAACCAGTACTTTGAATCCCTGCCTACTGTGATGGCCTTCCTCTCTGGCATCCGGTTGGCAGTGCCTGGGACAGAAGAAGATGCTGCGGCGTCGAAGAAGCAACAACAGGGAACAAAAGGTACAAAATCAGGTGGGAAGAAGGGTTTGAGCTTGCCATTGCTGGGTGCAGGTTCGCCAGGGGAGATCGCGGCAGCCATGGCACTGTGCAAGACCTTGAAGCCAGATACCGATTCCAAGCTATTCATTCAAATGATAGATGCCCGTCGAAGTCCAGAAGAGGTGCTCACTGAAATTCTCAACGTACTTCCTGAGCTGAAAACAGCAGAGGAGAAGGCCAAGGAAATCCCTCAACCGTTTGTGTTGCAGATCGTTCAGCGACCGGCAGCGCCCATCGCAAGAATGTCAATAAATCGATTTGCATTGCTTACAGAAATGCCGCCTCCGCCCGATCCTCCCCCGGAAGCTCAGGGTTCCGCAGATCCAGCTCTTACACAAAGATCCAAAGCAGGCGGTGAAACAACGGCCAGATCAAAAAGCAGAGGCGGGAGGACCCCCAGAACTCCAGGTGGTGGCAAGGCACCTGGTTCCCGACCCGGGTCCAAAACACCCAAGTCGAAAAGACCCGATGACAGTCTGACAATGCAGCTTGTAGAGGATGCACACAGGCTCAAATTTGGGAAAGCCAACTATGCAAAACAAACTCGGTGGGTGATCCCAGCGAAAGGCTCAGTCAATCTTCTGGTCCAGTTCTGGGCCGACGACATAGGGAAGTTCAGTCAGACACTTGAGTTCCAGGTTGTCGGCTCTGGCAGTTTTGTACTTAGGTTGCCATGCACTGGTGCTTGTGCATATCCAGAGATCAGCCAAGATCCTCAGGTTGTTTTCCGCCGCCGAATCAAGTCTCGACAGCCGGCTGCAGGAAGAGGAGATGGGTCAGCTAACACATTAGCCTTGCCCCCCCCGCCCCCACCAGTTTCGAAGGCATTCATACTATCCGAGGAACTTTATGAATTTGGACCTCTTCTGACGGGAAAGGACAGCATAGGATGGAAAGAAGGCGTTGTTTCGGGAGCAATGGTGCACCCTGAAAACATGGAAAAGCTCCGAATCTGCAATACCGGGATATTCGATGCACATATTGAGTTCCAAATTGTCATGAAGCGCCCTTTGACAGCACCAAGCACGGGGCGAAAGAGCCGAGGAGAGAAAAGGGGTGAGGGGAAAGGAGGACCAGGATCATTCTCCAGCAAGGACGATAAAAAATCAAGTGACAAGGAGGCAGGCGGAAGAGGGTCTCCTAGGCCCGATAAAAGAAAGGAAGGCAACAAAGGCAACAAAAAATCTGACAAGAAAACGGACAAGAAGGGCCAAGGAAAAGGCCAGGGAGATCCAGTGTTCGTCCTGCACCCGGAATCTATGGACCTGAAGATTGGTGAAACGAAGGAGCTTATAGTCTTTGCGTTTCCAATGGCGGTGAGTGAGAGAGATCTTTTTCGTTGTTTTTTTTTCTTCTTTTTTTTTTCCTTTTTTTTCTTTCTTAAAGAAACAACCTCATGGTTTTGGCTCTATAATACTCTATGATGGTCTATAATACTCTATATCCATTCTGGAGAGCATCAGTCCAGTTCCTATTCCACCTGCAAGTCAAACGAATACATCATTTACTGACTCTACGCTCCTTCCCATTATGGTTGGAAGGCCCGAGTGGACGGAATTGATTACTTCCCGTGGGAAGGATATACCACCCCTCACCCCTGCCTAATCTGGCCTCATTGACTTACTCTCGACTGGATGGTATCCTGGGACCTTAGATCTACTGGACTTCTGCTTGTACTTCTGAAATGCCTCAGTGAAACTCGGAGATCAATTTTGGCCATGTGATTGTGCCAGTGTGATGACCACATATCACCACGATTGCACTGTCACTGCATAGTACTTATGACGGAAGATACAATGTATTGATATCACCCGTCTTGATGTCCACAGGTCCTTCAGCTCGCAGGACGAGCCGGTAGCGCCAAACCCTGGCATGCAACAATTGCCCGTAGCCACTTTACTCGCTCGAAAGAATGCATAGCATGGTGTGCCTGTACAGAAAATCCTAATCACACTCAAAAGGTGCTGGGACTCAAAGCAGTGTCCCATGCGGAGGCCTGGCCCTATCCATATTAAACATAATTGTGTAATGACCCGCCAAACCACAGGCTGAAAACAGTGCTGATTTCTGAGTTTTGCCGCTGGAATGAATGCCTTGCTGAGATTCCCGCGTTCTGCTGAGTTTTCCAAGTCTGTGTGTGCGTGCGTGCTTGCTGGTCTGCATGCCTGTCTGAGTGCTTGTCGGCCTGAGTGTGTGTGTGACCCACAAGGGTACTTCTTTGTTTGAAGAGCCCGCAGGGCTGGTACTTACCTATGGCCGTGACTTTGAGGGTTGCAGAGGGGAAAACACTCAAGTGGCGGGAGTAGGCCCGCGACATTTAGAGCAGCGGGGAAAAACACTCAAGTAGTAGGTAGCCCGGTAGCACTCAAGTAGCGGTAGATGTGTCGGGAACTGGAGGCCGAGCAGAAGAAGACAAAATTGGCATTTTTAGAGGCCCAGTAGTTGGTAGGCTACCAGGTCTAGAAGGGTACCAGTCCAAATAGCCTGAGTCTAGGGCCTGTGCGGACGATAGCAGAGCCTGCAATGACGTTTCCCTCCGAAAGGGAGGAGGTACCGGTTGCTTGCAGGCCGTGCAGCCTGGAAGTCACCGCCCAAGAGGCAGGTAGGCCGCTATATCTTCAGGTAGAGCGCTGGACTCTATGTTACATGCTGAGCCTGCACACGGGCCCCGTTTTGGGGGCTTGATGGTTGCTGGTGGCCCCCAGGCCACACGCCCTTCGGACATGCGCCCTGGAGGCCCACAGCCGGCCTTATTCGATTTGAGGCAGCATTTATTTATTTATTTATTCGCTGTCCTATTTTTGTCTGTTCTGGAGTCGTTTCGGACTTTCGGTCTGTTCGGACAAAGGCCAAGTGTTTGGCCTTCTACGTTCGCAGGCAGGCCCTTGCGGGCCAGGTTCGTGCTCGTCCAGTAGCAGACGTCGCTGCTGCATCAGCAGGGAGGGTCTGGACGTCCGGTTGGGACCCCGAGTAGGCCGTTTCACGCCAGGACCAGGGGCACACAGGCGAGGCCCAGCGCTACATATAGCTGGGCCAGGCCAGGGCAGACACACAGTTCAAGTGGCTCACTTCTTGGGCGACACACTGCTGGAGCAGCGCGACAGCGCTACGCTAGAGGTAGAGGTGTAGGTAGGGAGTTAGGCGGAGGCCATACCTGCGTCGGCGGAGATCTTACCTGGGCACCATAGCTGGTCTTCGCGCCAGCGCCCTGCAGAGCAGCGGAGACACACGGCAACAGTTAGTACATGGTGGCAGTTACCTGCAGGTGAGATAGCGAGGAGGGCGACATTTCTTCTTCTTCTTGCCCTCGCCCTCCAAAGAGAGAGAGAGAGAGAGAGAGAGAGAGAGAGAGAGAGAGAGAGAGAGAGAGAGAGAGAGAGAGAGAGAGAGAGAGAGAGAGAGAGAGAGAGAGAGAGAGAGAGAGATTACAGGCAGAGGTTGCATCGGGCAATGAGGCCCAGGATCTGATTCAACACTTTTGTGGCAGACATTGATTGGATATTCAGCAGGGAGACTATTTTTGGACTTCGCTATCGTGATCTTGATCTTCTCCCTCATCTCCATCTTCGTCTCGCCTCCCCCCCCCATCTCCTCATCTGTGCTATCTCCCCATGTGCGTGCTCAAGGAGGGACCTTTCTTCTATGTATGCAGTCCCTCCTGTCTCTCTCACATGTGTGGTGTATGATGGGGTCTCGCATCAGTATCTGACAGGTCAGGTCATATCTTTGAGTCTTCCGCTGCGCTACATTGTGTTATTTTCATGTGTATCTGGATGTACATTGCTTGTTGATGCTTTGCTGACGCTGCATTGTCCATCCGAGTCCTTTTCATCACTTTGCGGATCCTTGGCTCCACATGCGTCGCTCGACTGAGCATGTATCAGTTGGTATCGGAGCCCCGCGAGTGAATGAGGACTGTAACCTGACTGCGCGTGATTAGGGGATCGACCGATCGATCGATTGCATGATTGATTGATTGATCGGTTGCTTGATCGATTGATTGATCGATTGATTGATCGATTGATTGATTGATTGATTGATTGATTGATTGATTGATTAATCGATTGATTGATTGATTGATTGATTGATTGATTGATTGATCGATTATGATTGATTGATTGATTGATTGATTGATTGATTGATTGATTGGTTGGTTGGTTGATTGGTTGATTGATTGATTGATTGATTGATTGATTGATTGATTGATTATGGGTGATTGATCGATTGGTTGATTAGGATAACCTAATTCAATTCCTATTTGCTATTTCTACCTACCTGCTAGGCTACCAGCCGGGCCGCGCGGGTCCCGGGTGGCCAGCCTGTGCAAGGACCAGGGAAGGTCCCAGCAAAAAAAAAAAGAACAAAACAACATTCCGAAAAATCCGAAAAAAAAACTATGTTATGCAGAAAAAATAAACTGAATAACGTTTGCCTCAGGGTCACATCGACATTCTTCACCAAATTTAGAATACAAAATAAAATTTAAAACTTGTTTTTTTTTGTTTTTTCAACTTTTTTGTTTTTTTTCCGCCCAGCCGGGCAAGTAACCCCGGGCCACTCTGGTAGCCTAGCCTCCCTGCCAAATTCCGAATTTTTTTTTCTTTTCGGAATTCCTTCTTCTGTGCAAATTCGTTTTCCATCAAATCTGAAATCGGCGAATCGCACGTTCCGGAAACAAAATAAAATTCTTCGGAATTTGTTCTTTTCGCAAATTCGTTTTTTCGGAAATTCTGAATCGCACATTAATTAGGAGCTGAAATTTTCGAATTTTCTTTCTTTTTTTCGAATTTCGAATTTTCCGTTGCTTTGAAAAATCCGAATTTTATTTTTTTTCGGTACACCCTCGCTGTGCAGTTGAACTTGGGTTCTACTTCCCAAAATCGAAAATGCTGCGCTTTGCGAGGAACAAGCCCTCACGGGGCCCTATCAGACATCACATGTTCTGGGCAAAGGCCCCCAGCAAGCCAAGTGCCCGCCCTAAGTGAAGGCGGGCCTGAATATTCGTCAAAGGCCAAAATATGTGGGTATTCAGGCTCTTGCAGCACGCCAGTTGGTTGAATGGACGCGCGAGCCTCACTAAGCTGCGTCGTACAGTTGGCCCAGGCCTTGACAGTTGCGCCTGGGCACATACACACAAAACAGGGCCAATACATTGAGAAGCAGGCCATCGGCCTATGCAAAAGCAGTACTATCGACGCACCTACCGGGGAGCCCTGCACAGATGCAGCAAACCCAAGTCCGGAAACTCAGGCCGTGCCCAACTGTAAATGGGGCCCAGGCCCTCAACTGTAGTCTCGGGCCTGGGCGCAGGGACTGAGGCCCAACCGGAAGCTACTGCCAGGCCACACGCAGCATCCAGGAGGCTGTCACTTCCAAATAAGAAGTGAGGCAGCCCAGGCCAGGCATTCTGGCCTGCATAGGCAATGCGGAAGTGCTGCTGCGCTACTGCTTGATGCTGCGCTGCAACCAAGGGCGCTGACGGGGCGCGTAGAGGTGAAGTGGGGTGCTGAAAAGCAGCGGGGGGCAGGCAGCCATAGCCGGGCTGCTGGGCGCCAGGGGGTAAGAGGGCGATCTGGTGGTCTTCAGGGAAGGAGGCGAAGTGTGGGGTATCAAGGTCTGATGAGGGTGACGAGATACGTACCTGGTTCATGAAGAGAGGTCGACTATGGTGTTGATATCATGTACATTGGTCTTCGAGAGTCAAAGAGCCTGTTGCATGAACACAGCTGTAGGTAGGATAGGCGAGTAGAGTAGGCTGGGCGCTGGGCGCCAGACAGAGAGGAGCGACTTTGGATACTGTGTTGGTGTGGCCTATGGGCTTGAACATTGGCTCATTACTTCATTGTATTGCTCTATTTGGATGGATTCTCGGTGCATTTGTGCTCTTTGCTTGTACACGACTATTTGTGCTCTTTGCTTGTACACGACTACTCAGACATCTGTGTGATTTCGCAACTTGGTTTTCTGTATATCGTTCACACTCATATTCCTTGCAATTTGGTATCGGAGCTGGTTCGTGATCGCCGCTTACCTGGCGCTGGTGACGCTTCATGTGCAGTAAGGATGCTTTGACACTGGCTTGTTATAGCGGGGCCCAGGTGGAGGGGCCAGCCGCTGGAAGGCTGTGGCGACAACGGGTGTATGTATGATGATGAGAGTATGCTGACATGGCATTTTGGCTGAGGTGGCATTGCATTGCGTTGTGGGTGGTACCAAGGCTATTGACCGGTCATCGAAATGCACGTCGGCCCAATTGGTGAGAAATCTGTGGTTGGGGGCAACTATCTCCAGGTACGTTGTTCCCATTCCTTATCTA